TARTGTATCTTTGTATACAATGTTGGCTTCATGTGCTGTTACTAGTACAGTTACCTTGGTACCTTGCAAGATGTCCACCCCCAAAAACTGCCTGGTGTTCCATCATTCCATGGAGCTTGTCTGTTTTTCCAGTAACTCTGCCCTGATGATTTGTACAGCCCTGATGATCTACAGCTTCTCACATTATCTGTCACATCCAGTAATTTTCTTATGTCATGTCCAGTAGTTCTTCACATCCTGTTTATTCAGCTTAATCTCAGGCCAAGGCCTGGTCATCTGCGTGCAGCCCGGACAGGATCCAAGTGGCTGAGGGGCTGGTTCTCCTGAAGTCCCTCTACTGCCCACTGGAGCAGCTGCTTGAGTGGTGAATGCCTGGAGGAGCTTCAGTCCCCACACTGCTGAAAAATTGAGACAGGCTGGTCCTGCTTCTGCCACTCCTTTGCCACCTCCTTCCAGCGTCATTTTGGCATTCCRGTGCCTATTGTGGGCACAGCCAAGGCACCAGGATAGAGAGCTGCACCATTGTTCTTTGTTTTGTGTACATCAGCCTGCAGAGAGTCTTTCCTTGCTTGTGTCCCTGTCTCTTAAAGGGTTTCATGACAGGGGTGTGGTCTGTAAGTAAAAGAAAACTATCTCTTCCGTTGTGGCTTACTGCCCATTATTCATTGTCATGCCAGCATTTGCCAGTTAGAGCACTAATGCCAGTAGTGCTGGCAGTGTGTTACTTCTTGTCATTGTCTCTCTCCCACAGAGAAAACATGTTCAGTCTGCAGGGAAGAAGGGTTTATTAATCCCAACAGCTTTTTGTTATCCCTTCAGAGGCAGTCAATATGGCACACCTTGCTTTTAAGGCTTTGGCTTGGGTATTTTTAGACATTTGGGGGGTGTTWAAAATATTTGTTAGAGATGATTTTCAGTAAGAAAGAGTGTGTGCATTGGTGCAAAGGGGGCCTTCATTTATATTTCCCTAATCTGGGATTATTGTGGTTTGTATACTTCATAAAGTAGCATATTTCTCTTCCCTCTTAACTTTTCTATTCTTTATTCACTTGGTACATAATATCTCATCTGTCTTGGAAACCCACTGGCACAGGTTATGACACCAAGCAATATGATTTTAGAAAACAGCTATAATCTGTGAGAGTATGTGGAAACCAGTGAGAGTGTTCTTCAGTGGAGGCCTCTAGTAGTGGATCTTCTCAATGCTAGGGGGACAGAAAAGAAAGGGGGAAGGGATGAAGAAAAACGCAGTAAAAGTGCTGTTAGATAAGGRCTAAACAGAGACCGTGATAAAAACAAATTACCTCCAGCCACTAATAATGGCCTACTAAAAATGGCTGATAACTTGCTTTGCAGAAGGCCAGCCTTGACATTGATAAGGGAGAGCAAAAGGCACATGAGGATTTGGAAATATGGGAGGACYTGTGAACTAGACAAAACTTAAGTGATGCCTTGGGGGCATAACCGGGAGTGAGCATTTGAAGGGTCAATCTCAGCCAATTCTGATCAGTAAATTTATCTGACCAAGCACTGCAACTGATAGCTACAGTCTGTCACCATTTTATCTTTTCTTAGCTGTGTGTAGTCTCACCTCTGTCCTCTGGGTGCTGGCTACTGGGGGTATGGGCAAACAGTGGGAGTCAGGCCGAGGTGTCGGTGCCCCAAGCCTGTGGTGTCAGCAGCAGTGGGTTGGGGTCTTGCCTCCAAGCACAGGGGCAGTAAAAGCATGTGCACCATCTGGGAGGATGGATAGTGTGTGTCTACATGCAGGTAAAACTGGGGTGAGTAATGCCAGTGAGGCTCTTGGGAGATCTGTACTGGGCCACTGGTCACAGCCTGTGTGCCTSTGCTACTGCCGAGCGGGGCAGGCAGAGTCTCTTAAATTCATGTGCTTTGACCCCCAATGTGTATGTTTCTTTGGCATGACATTCACTAACACACCTCAAGCTGGAGTAGCAGGTGTGGGAGGTGTTTTTCAAAGGGCATGTAGTGATAAGACATGGGGTAATAGCTTTAAGGTGACAGTAAATTAGGATTGGATATTAGGAAGAAATTCTTTACTCTGAGAATGGTAAAGCACTGGCACAGATTTTCTAGGGCAGCTGTTGGTCCCCCATCCCTGGGAGGGTCCAAGGCCAGGTTGGGGAGGGCCCTGAGCATCCCGGTCTAGCGGAAGGTGTCCCTGCCCATGGCAGGGGGRTTGGAACTAGAGGATTTTTAAGGCCCACTCTAACCATTCTGTGTGGGTAAAGGGCCCTTGTTGGTGCCTGTAACATGAGTGTTGAGTGTGTGCGTCTGCCTGCTAGCGACTTTCTGCCAGCCAGCAAGTAGGAGGTCCACGAGAGGGATACAAAAGCTATGGACCCAGGCAGAGGGGTAGTAGATGGACAGGAGAGTATGCTGTGTTGATGCTGAGATACACTGAATGCTCATGTGTTTGTGCAGTTTAAGGGTGTGGGTGGTGGTGCACTCTCAATAACAAGCTTCAGTCCTGATAAGAAAAGAGAAAGAGGTCTTGGCTGGCTATACTGAAGTTCATATGAGGCCTGAGAGTGCTACATGCTGCATAGCTGAGCTTCACTTCTGGTTGAACCTGTCAATAAGAAAGCAACTGCTACATCTGTGGATGTGGGACAGACACTTCTGGGTCTCTGAACACATTGAGCTGGGTTGCAGCAGTAGGACAGGAGGACACCCTGGACTRGTCTCAGAGATGCTGGAAGGAGCAGCCATTTGTAATATCCCTTAGCATAATTGGTGAAACAGGGTTCTGTGACAGATACTCAATACAAATTTGAGTATTGCAAGTCAGGAGTTTTTGAGCTACATGTATCTCAATCTGGAGAAAACTCTGCTGGGAAAAATACCACTATATCCTCATTCTATTTTATTATCTGCTGCTGACCATTAATAGATGGAATAAATTTGTGTTTACTACAGAAACTCGACTCACATGGCTACTTGTAATAAACCACGATGCTGCTGCAGGATTAATATTTGAGTAAAAAAATGCTTAGTTTGCCTTAAATTTAAGAGAAGTGAAGGAGATGATTTATAAATTTGCAGATGTAAGCCCTAACAACAACAGAAGGTTGTTGGCCTCATTCTGTACGCTAGGCATTTCAGTGTGTCTTTCATGACTTCACATTCCAAAGTGTAATTCATTCTCCRGTATTATTCATGATTTTGCAATGTCTTGGGAATTTTGCAGTATTGTCATATCAAAATTAAACTTTAGACATTCTCATGGAGGGATTGCTGAAGTTCATCTGTCTCTGCCCTGAACCCTGTTGCTGCGTTTAAATCCTAAGGAGACAGGAAATCTGCAGTTTTATTTGGGACGGAGATCACARGAATTACACTTCTTTTTGTTCTTTTTTTAATAAAACAGCAGCTTGATTTAATGAATAATATTGGGTTCCAGAGCTTCATTCGTAACCCCCAGTCTGCTGTGTGACAGTGAGCATGTCACTTAACCAACATGTCCTACTTTCACCATCTGTGAAACACTTTGGAAAGTCATGGAAAACTGAATCATAGGTCTTTTCCATCTCTGTTAGGTCATCCAACTATTCATCTGCCAGTAGAAGATTGTTTCCTACATCCACCAGTGTTTTTCCAGTGAATTTTGTCCTCTAAGTGATCGGGCTTCCACTAATACCTTTGGGAGATGATTTTGCAGAGTTCTAGATCTCACTGTCACGAAACTAAACTCTTCTGACATTCACGTAACAATTTTATTGTGGTTATCATTTTTAATTATTATTATTATTTATTATTCTGTTTATTATTTATTATTATAAGTTATTATTCTGTTACTTTTTCACCATTACTAGATAGTTGTTTACAGTTTTAAGACACATACAATACATGCAACACATTAAAGGTCTAGATACACTGTAAGTCTCTGTAAGGTATCTATAGAAGGAAAAAAATACGAGGTTTTGAGATGCAAGGTATRACCTTTTACAAGAGAGTAAGGCTAACTGGTTCTTCCAGAAATTATGTTTAAGGAAGAGTACAGACTGCTCCTGATTTAGGATAGAAAAGTGATAGAATATGAAGCTTAACAGTAGAGTTAAAATGAGGGTGTTGGAATAGGTTTCAAGGATTGTTAAGCAGGGATAAAAAGAAATTAACAAATACAACATAGTTTTAAGCATGAAAGCTATCAGAATATCTAAGTTACTTTGTATAGAGTTTTAACATTTCAAAATGTGTGGAAATTATTTGGGTCTGGCATAAGTGTAGTTAAAATGCTTTTTGAATGGGAAAAAACTGGTACATAAGATGATTTTTTGTTGCATTGCTCTAGGAAGAAAACAATATTCATTTAATTCAATTGATGAAGTTAATAGGGTGTTTTGTAAGGCTACCAATATAAAGCATGTGTCTTAAAATAGTGAGAAAAGTGTCATGGGAGCATGTTTCATAAAATATTCAGCTTTTAACTGAATCCATTTGTCCAGGATTTTCATTCCTCTATTTTAGCTGCCAATGGAAATGCTTATGTCCAGGAATGCAAACTGCATGTGCAGTCAATCTCTTTAGAAAAGGGATAATATCTTTTTCATCTTAGCTTCATTTTCATAGTCTTGAACTTATATATTTACATATGTTGATAAGTTCTGATATAACTTCAGAGTCTAAGATTTAAAATCAGGAATTTAAAGCCTTCCAGAATTTATTTGTAGTACAACAATATGGACAATTGAAATATTTCTGGAAATAAAACCATCCTTCTGCATACTTTGCAGAAAAATCCCTCATGCCTTCAATAGTAGTATATGCAGTCAGATTAGATATAAGGTAGTTTTAGGAAAAGTCAGTATAAATTTAGTATTTACATACACACCACAAAAGTTTCCATATAACAAACTGGTTTCTTCCTTTAAGAGATTAGGGAGGTGCCATGGTTAGAATATTAATGAGGAAAGTAAAGAAAGAAAGACTTTATGAAGTCTGATCACAAGAAGAATAAACTTATCTTTCATCTACAGGAAATAAAACCAGATGAAGTTACCAGACTTGCTCTTAGGACAGAAGTTAATTTTGAAAGCGTCTGCAGAAAGGTAAGACTTGCTGATTTTTGTTTTTCTTGCCCTGCTTCTCTGAGTGTGATAGGATGCATGTGTGGGTGCAAGTATGTGGATTTTGCAMAATGTGTTCTGTTTGTTGTGTTGTATCTTCATTGTAGAACTTACTTTTCTGAGGAAGTTTATCCTCTGGGACCTATCTAAGAAAAATGAGTAGCAGTCTGCTACAAGTGACTTGTTATTAGTCTGGTGGGCTAGTCCCTAGTAATTGGAACAGAATACCAGTAAGTATAGTAGTCATTTCTCAGTCTTTATAAAGAGATTAATTTTGTTTATATAGTATATATACATGATTCAATTAGTATAATTAATTTAAGCTTTCAACAACAATTGGAAAAGAGCTTTCAGTCTTTCAAATGCAGAGAGAAGTTTCAACATCTAAACAAAACATGACAAACATTAACTTTAAATCAAGGTGGAATTTTACTGCTCCCATGGCTCGTTAGTTTCAGTGTAATGTTTCTGTTGTAGCCTGCTGATGGTACATTATTAACTGTTTTGAGTAGTGTTGTCTGTAAGAGTTGAAATGAAGACATAAAAGTGGGACGAAGCTTGTTGAAATACGCAGGTGATGTTGARAGTGGTACCATTTCAAAGGACATGCTGCATTAGTGATGCCTGAAAGCAATTCTGAATTTAAAAATGTCAATACATGAAAATTTATGTTGTCTTTCACTTTATCTGAAATTCCTATGGGTGATTCATTGAGGAAGGCTGAAACCTGAAATGTTTATAGTACAAAGGCTAAGTTTTAATGTAGAACTGGGTCATTTACTCCTGTAGTGGCACCATTAGTTAGTAATATAACTCTGCTGTTGCATATTACAGTCATGTGTGATGTAGTTCAGTTACTAGCATAGTGTGTAGCAAGTTTCTTAATGTTTCATGTCAGCAAAATCAAGTTAATCGGAAAATATAGGAATTTGATATTTTTGCAGCAGTGTTTGGGTAGAAGCATCGTAACTGTTTTTCTTTCTCCTAATGATAGAAGAGAGTACGGAAAAGGTCAGACTTTGATAAAGATTTTCCAGTGTGAAGGTGAGGTAGACAGAAACTGGTTACTGTAATGTTGGAAATAGTGCAGTTGTAAAGATTTTGAATACATGAGGACACAATGGAGCAGGATTTCTTTCTTGAGAAGGGCTACTAAATTCAAATAGTGATGTTTTGTCGCTTAACCATAGGAGATTCTTCTGCCAGTGTTTCACATGTATCARGCTTTTGCTGATTTCATGAAGTGTAGGAGCTCCAAAATGAAATAAATTAAGCTGGTTTTTATAAAGGAGTTTATWGGTTTGGAATTTTATTTTTTAAGAGGACAAGTTTACTGCTGAGAATACTGAAGGAATATAATTAATTCTACTGGTTTATTTTTCCCCATTATTTTTTATATATTGGTAATCATAACTAATGGTTAATTCCTGAAAATGTATAATGCACATGTCTTCCTGGAACTGTTTTGGGGTTTTGATCTGTTGTTTCTGTTACTTTCTGCTGATTCCCTGTTTTTCAGGGAATGGAAGTCTGTTAATCTCACACTTTGTACTGGATGGAACTTAGGTTTCAAATCAAGTTGATGGATGCTGAGCTGATGCTTTTTTAAAGTCACTGTATTAGAATAATATGTACAGTTAATTATTACAGTACTGTTGACAAGTGATGGCTGTGCCATCGTAACTTCATTGGTTGCTTTTGGTTGGCCGTAGCATATTCACAACTAAAAGAAGGCGTCCCTTCTATGCTTTAACAGAATGTTGAAACAATGTTTTATTTCTTATTTTCCCACAGTTAGTTATTAAACATAAAATTTAAAAAAAAAAWTATTTTCTATCCCTGGTAATATTCTGTAGTCTCATGAAATACRGACCACACTGTTTACCTTTTCATTAACTTGAGTTTCAAAATATTCGAAGGAAAACATCCTGTGGCTGTTTTCATTTTCAAAATAGGTTTGTTTTCATTGACAAAAGGCAATCTGCTTTTAATTCACTGTGGAATGCTGAATATTAGTTTTGCAGAGTGGTCATGTAGTCAAGATACTTGTTTAATTGCTTCTGCTCACTGAGATTTTATGTTCCATTACTGTTTCCCCAATATTTTGCAGAATAAGCTAGGCATACTTCCCTGTTTAAAAAGAGGTTGCATATATTTCAGTCAAGCATAATAAAATTGGGCTAGGTGTTTAGTAAGTGTCAGTTTACCGTGAGTTCCTATGATTTAGATGGCAGTATGGCTGTATTGATAATAAGCACATCAGATTTATGTAGTTACAGGGGCAGTTGGCAAGTCACTAGCCCCATGACATAGACACAAGGCTTTTTATAAAAGCATTAAGCAACAGCAGGTGAACAGTTCTTTCTGCATGTCTGCTGAAATATTTTTAATTCATTTGAATATTGCTGCAGCTGTCACCATTGTTACCAATGGCTGATAAATTACTTTGTAAAAATTGTAATCAGTGTTACCATGCAACTTTGACTAGGCTTTAAATTATTGGATCTAYTTATGACTGTTGAAAAACAGAACCTGTATTTTCCAGGCTTTCTCCAATTCTTTGTGCACTTTCTGTACCCAGTTGTGCATTGTCTGCCACAAACATATTTGACAGACATTACTAAGTTAGAAAAGCATGTCATAGAGCTCMTATTTTAGACAGATATTAGCAGCTGTGATGGCATTTTGAGCTGTTCCACAGAGCTTATGAACTGTAATGGGAAGCTTGTTTCATCAGTGTTGTGCTCCAGAACACGGAAGTTACAAAGTAGACTGGAAGCTAATCCTTATAATGCTGATAATTACAAGCAGAAAACTATTGAGAACTGACAAAGGTCTTAACTGTTATGTTCAACTTGTTGCTAACATAGATTGAAGGTAATTTAGCTAGGTGAAAAYAGGCAGGATAAATAGGTTAATATGTATTAATATATCTCCAGTGTTACAAAACTGTATAATGTGGGCTTTTTCTCAGGAAAATAGGACTTTGGTCCACCTGCAGACACCCTCGTCATCTGCATTTGGTTTTGTTGCCTTTGCTAATAGACATTGAGTAACTTACTGCARTATCACATTCCGCTTTTCTTCCAGTAAGTCTTTGGTGTATAGCTCACTAGAAAAATGTCCCTGTGTTTTAAACACTTARGAAGGACAGAATTCTGCTTCAGCATAATGGAACTTCATCCTGCCTTAAGTCAAAAAGCCTTTTATTTTTCCTAAAGATTTTTTCTGAAGCCTGTGTGTTTCAAAATGCAACAGATTTCTGTTTTGGGGAAGCAGGATTGAAACTAAAATGAGCAATTGTATTTTTCTTTGGATGAAGAATAGAGTACCAGCATACATTATTATCATATTGAATTGAACACATGCTTCTGACTTGCAGGAATACCAACAAGCATTCACAGATTATTAATACCACCTGTAGTTTTTGTTTCCAGATGCTGTCTTCACATAACCTTAGAAGCATAGTTTTCCCTTCTTTTACACTGATCTTTAATCTGTGGTCCTTGAGAAGAGCACCATCCTTCCCCTATTAAGTGCTGTATTTCCACCCATTGCTCCAATCCTGATGTGTTTGAGTCATGCAGTTGCTGGTCTGCAAACAGAATTCTGCACAGAAGATTTTGAGTATATTATAATAGTCAACATTTTTTGGGGCCATGCCACATCCCTCTGAGTCTCAAGATTACTGAAAAGTTTGCCACAGTTTGTAAGTGTGTTGAGAAGTTTTTTTGTACACCAGAAATGTAAGCCATTAATAGCTCTTAAAATTCTGCACCCACCTCCCTCCCCGCCACCATCYCATCACAATTAAGGACTGGTGAGCTTATTTTGGCTTTATCATGTACAGGAACCAACTTTGTCTTGTTTGGAATTCAAAAAGAATTCAAAGACTTCAGAAACAGGATCTCAGGCAGCTCGTGCACAGCCGTAGGGAGACATGCCAGAATTTAACTGAGCAGCCAKGTGCACAGTATGGGTTTGATCATTTAAAATCTAAGCTGCCTGATGAGGACAACTAGACTTAACATGGTTTTGGAGGGTTGRCATTAGTGCTGTGTGGTTTTTGGTTGAGGTATTTTTAACGAATGCCCAGAGACTGATACATTACAGTTAGAAGTTCTGAGTTGAGTGAATTTAATATCTATGGCACTTGACCTATATGACTTAGATGAATTTGGGATGGGAGAACCAACAAAAATACTTACAGTAATATATAAAGGTTTTCTGTGATTTATCAAACAAGACTTTGACTGATTCACACCTGTGGAGACTGTTTCATCTCTGAAACATACTGAATTTTCTGGATCTCTGGTGTGGGACTTGGGAAAAAAGGACATGAGAAAGAGATGGAAAGATGTTTGTGCCCAGGAAGAAAAAGGTCAAAGTTACAGGGGTCATTACGTATTAACTTAATTTCTTTCAAAAGTATATTTCAATCACATTATCAAAATAGCATTTCTCAGATTCTTATGCTTTTTTAATTATGCAGGTGATAGCTTGAGATTCAATCTGCAGCCTCTCTCTCTCCTCCATAACCAACAAAAAAGGGCTAGGGTAAAGTAGTCACAGTGTTAGTTTTGATTTTGTTCTTCTTTTTAGATTTATATTGAAAATATTTTTCACACCACCRTATGTGAAAGGCAATTTGTGAAGGCCTGCAAGCTTTGGGGCTGTAATTAACAGTGAGTGATTAATTGGGGCAGCAGGCTTCCCAGAGTATCTCACTGCATGGAGACAAGACATCATTCTTGCTGAAGAAATATACGAGACATTGTTCTACTGAATACACTTAATTATTAAGGAAATATTAAACTTAATACTCCTAGTACTTTTGAACTGTGTGTTAGGAAAAGAAAGATATAATTGCTGAATTAAATAGATTTTTTTGATTAAACACATCTACATCCATAGAGGAACACTCATATCTGTATTTTCTAATTTTGAAAAATAAAAAGGTTTCTCTTTTAACTGACAGTCCT